CTCTCTCTCTCTCTCTCTCTCTCTCTCTCTCTCTCTCTCTCTCTCTCTCTCTCTCTCTCTCTCTCTCTCTCTCTTTCTGATTGCAGCAAGGCTAACAACATCCATAGACAAACACAGTCAGGTTCCAAAGAAAGCCGCTGGAAGTGTAAACCTTAGCTACTTCACAAACCTGAAATATTCAGGATTCATAACTTTCAATGCCGTCGGACAAGTCCATATCCTTACATAAACTGAATATCGAGCACACAAGTGCACCAGATTGACATCGGAAAAATTGCAAGTTGAACACTGAGGGACCTGACAAAGCTGCTAACCTTTAAGTGTTCCATGACAGATTTCAATAGTGGGCAGAACTTTCTGGAATAATACAGGACAATCACGTGCACGGTCTCCCTTATGCTGGCTTGGAAAACCGGACTTTTACAATGCACAAATGCAGTACATATTAACGTTAGCATATTCCTCCTATGAACAGCGTAAAAGAATTTGTTGTGTGCGAATGGCCGATTACAACTGTGTTACCATGGAGGAGGAAGTACAGACATACCATACGTGCATCAACTTTCTCAATCGTTTCCTGTAAAGTTCACAGCCAGTTCATTGCAATATGTAGTATGGAACATTCGTGGAGTTTGGGTGATGGCTATTGTTTTTCAAATGACATAGATATTTAGAGTCTTTTGTTAGAAACTCAGCACACCATGTTTTCTTGAAGCAACGAAAACTAATGTACCTACATGTTGCAGTAGCCGTGAGGGTATTACTAGGCAACAAGGACAACTGAAACACAAGCCATGGAAGCTTCGTGCCTTACGCTTTGATGCATGTGTTATGCACAGTACAAATTCCAATCGCTTAAATTAACAAAAGATGACTAATAAATGTCCCACTTGGCACAACACTAATTAATCACGCGTAAATAGCTTATGCCATATTGTATTTACCATTCAGACATCATCACCAAAGACATCGGTGATCCAAGAAAGTGGTCCGTGACCGATGAAGAAAAAAAAAGTTTTATTAATGCATTACAGACATCTGCCTCAAGTCCTCCTGTGAGACCTGGATATTTTTTTTTAGTGCCGGTGATCAAATTTTCAATTATGCCTGCATCGTCGCGTCAAAGCTTTTGCAAACATTTTATGAACATAACACACCGGTGCGAGGTAAGTCGGTGATGTGTGTGAGTGACAACGAGGAGGGCCCAATCACAAATCATTCAGCAGTCACTGCTCAGGAAATGACCGATCAGTTAAAGACACCACCAGCCGAGTCGCTCCTCAGACCGACAGCCATTCATTTCCACTTTTAGATGACTGACTGAGAGAGCAGTTGATAGTGATGGCAGATTGCGAATAAATATATCAAGGTGAGTTTAAATACTACAAGTGTTCCTAGTGTAAGGCAATAATGGGTTCTTCACAGTCCTCATAAAAGTTTGTTTCATTAAACTCCATTACCATTCCAATAATCAAATATAATTATTCTCGGGTTTACATTAATATGAAAACCTAAAGTCACGATGCGATTGAAACAGGACTGCAAGTGCGCTTCGGTTTGTTTAATCCTGAAATATGTCGGCATTGAAATTGTCTGCTCTTTTTTTCATTTTAATTTGAATGCAAAACATTTTGAAAGTTAACGTTTTTGATGGTGATCCATGGCTTCAAACATTGTCTGAACTGCAATGCGTGAAATCCCTAAACCTAACTTTTGGTTGCATTATTATTTTCTTTCTTGTTTCTCTCAGTTCAGAAAAATAAAACGTAATATAAATGTACATTTCTATAGTTGCTATTGCAGCATTCATTTGGCTAGTTGGAATCGCACCAACACAGTCGGGGGACGTTAAATACTATAGTGGAAAAATACTTCTTCAGTTCCAATGCCTCGCTCAAATCCATATATATAATATTTTTATTTACTTCAGAAAGGGGATTTAAACAGTGTGTTTTGTGTTTTAGTTTCAGTTTATACAGTCTTCCCCTCTTTTCGGACTTCAATAGAATAACAGAGACACCAGGGTAAGTGTCCTTCTGAATTCCCTTCAGTCAAGAAATAACAACATTAGTGCTGTCGCCTTTTCTGAAAGTGTCACCAATCTCGATGGCGAGCACATCTTGCCTCATAGTCTGGACCCAGAGACGCAGTGAAAGAGAAAGATAGTCAAACAACCATCAAACTTTATCTTGTTAAACCCTTATATCTCATCGTCGAAGTACCTCCAATCCACCTCGGATACTAATGGATAAAGGTGAATTAAGCATGATTAACATGTTCCCACACACAGGTCTTATTCCAATAAACCAAGTTTTGGGGTTTTTTTTAACATATAAAGCTTTACCCCAGGTGGCTGTTATCGGAAACACACTACAGTAATCAAAGCTAGTTTGCGCTTTGTTGATTCTAATTTTATTGCCACCGTAACGTTTCCATCTGGTACAGGTCTTTGCGTATTTCACGAAGGCCTTTATCCCTAGACGGCGGAGACCCGGTAATGATTTCTTGAATTAAATATCCTCTTTTTGTTTGACTTCACCAGGGTTTCGTCGGCATTGGGAAAAATAGTTGAATTTGCCCGAAAGCGCGTCTTCGTTTTGTCCCAATTTTTAAACATGGGGGACCCCCCATGTTTAAAAATTCATAATGACAACCGTGTGTGGATTTTCTCTTTAGATTTTCAAAAAACAATAACTTTCACTCGATTAACAGTCGGACATTGTGTTGACAAGGACATGGGTAGACAAAAAATGTCCCCCCTAGGGTGGCGGATTCTACTGTTGATTTGAAAAGTAGGTCGAGAATGACATATTGTAAAGGATAGGATGAAATGACCATTTTAATATCTTCTGGGTTTTTTTTCTGAGGAAGGGTAGCCGTTTGCCTCGTGACACAAATGTTACAGATATTTTTAGTGTCCAACTGGATAACCTTTCTTGGCTGATTTGAAAAAAAAATCAATTCAAAGTTCTGCTTGAGATTTTTATATGTGTACTGACCTACATTTTTTATTTGGAAACCGAATTGTTGTCTAGGACAGTTATAGCGCACCTCCCCTTTCACCCCGTTTCTCCCTTTTCACTCACTCACGCCGGAGTTTCCCAGTTCACTCACCTTGACCTTTGACCTTACATTTGCAAAAACAACCCGGCACTTCTGCTGCACAAACACTTTGGCTCTCACACAAGGCAAAAGGGGATTTTCCTCGCTTTCCTGGTCGCTACAAGTCTCGACTTGCCCGACCTGAACTCGTGACTTCTCACAGTTTACAACTGCCTTAAATAAATGAACTGTAAATAAAAATAACAATACATTAAAAACATGTCAAGTCAAGTCGATAGAAAAGAATGAGAAAAATTTTTAAAACCTATATATAAATAGAGAAATGAGCAACCCAAGACACAGACCTCTACAATCGACCTTTAATCGATTTAAGAAGGCGTTTTTAGAAGAAAATTTTGTCAAGCATTATAACAATCCTTTACCGGCACCCAAGCGTAAATTTCACACCAAACCTGAGCTCATTGAAGCCATACGGGCAGAGCAGAATCAATTTAGGTACCTCCCGCGTCAGTCATACCGGCAGCTGTTAAAAACGGTTCAAGAACACAATATTCCTTTTGCACTCAAAGACAGATATGTTAAACCAGACTTTATTGAAGCGATTAAAGCTTCCACTCGACATAAGAAACGTGAGGCGCTTTCAGGGTAACTAACGCAATTGGGAGTTGATACCCAGTTTCTTTGAATATGACTTCGTGCACTTTTTTTTATTTTTACAAGACTTTCATCGAGAAGAAAGCGTTGGAGGAGTTAAGGGAGATCGGTTCATACAAACTGCAAACGGCTCTAAAAGTGCAGTTTAGATTGGAAAAACCCGAACAAACTGACTTTGGCGTTTTTACCTTTCCGAGCGAAAACAAATTGGTCGTAAGTAAAGCCGACGTAAAAAAGGCACTCGCCGAACAGAGGCAAAAACAGATAGAGGACGTGGAGGCTCATACACAACTTGGGTTGGGATGGATCTTTGATAAAGTTGTCGCTTTTTACATCAACGTGGTTAAATACAACCCGGTGCGTGCAACTTACATCCATTACCTGCGCAATTGGGGCACAAAAAAAAGCAATCATAAACGTCCAAAACAACGACTAGCAGTGTATCAGATGGGCACTGAGAGCAGCTTTAAAAATTTATTCAGACTACGTCAAAAGTCAATTGAAAACAAAACTAAAATTTATAATAAAACTACGAACGAACCTCGACTTACACAGAAGCAGACAACTTAAATTTCACAAATTCCACATATCGAATCACAACACATTTTAGCAATCAATGTGTTCGGTTACGACAAAAAGACGGCTTGACATTCTTCACAAAAGTAAGCACTTGGGTGAACTGATCAATTTACTTTATTTTACGCAAGGTGAAAAAAGCCACTATTGTTGGATTAAAAACTTTTCTCGGTTGACGGGTGATATCAATAAACACGACGGTCAAAAACACCTGTGCTTTAACTGCATGTCACACTTTCAAAGAGAAAAAAGGTTAACCAGGCACAAAGAAGATAGCCAAGGGTTAGATGCGGCTGCCTGTAAAGTCGAATTATCCGCCGGGGGCTAAAGCATTCTATAATTTGCAAACAAACAAGATGCACCTTTTGTCATTTACGCTGATTTTGAGTCTGTTTTAGAAAAATTACCGCAAAAAGAATTAAACACTGTTAAGACACAAATCCATAAGCCTTGCAGCTATTCTTATGCGGTTGTCAGATGCAACAGTAAATGCACTAGCCAAAAGACTTACAGAGGTCAAGACGTTGCTAACGATTTTGTTAGGTCTATTTCTGAGGAAGTAGAAAAGATAAACGAGGTGTTTAGACACAAAGAGCCCTTAAAAGGGACACGTGAGTTACAAAAGATCTAGATAAACTGTAACCGCTGCTGGATCTGTGAAAAGCTTATCGGCAAGACAAAAGAATCTCAGTGTCAGTGTCCCGTTCCAAATGAACCGAACACAAAAGACGAAAAACCTGCCTTTAATTTAGCCAACAAGAAAAGCAACTATAGAGACTTGAAATGCATGACGTGCGAAAAGCCAATTTATAAATTTCGTAAAGTTAGAGATCACTGTCACGTGACGGGTAAGTACCGAGGCCCCAGTTGTAATCTAAAGTTAAAAGTCGCCCCAAATCAAACACCCGTTCCGGTGATTTTACATAATCTCGAGAAATACAACGCCCATTTGATTATGCAAGGAGCCCACGAGTTTTAACGGGAAAGAAATCAAATTAATTGCTAAAACACCGAGGACTACATTTCATTTTCATTTGGCCGACTCAGGTTTTTAGACTCTTTTCATTTTATGGCAGCCTCGCTATACCGGTTGGTTAAAAACTGTTCACCCGGTGATTTTAACTTACTTTAGGAGAGATTTCCAAAAAATAAAAAATTATTGTTGGAAAAGGGAATCTATCCTTACGAATACATAGACTCCTTTGATCGGTTCCAAGAGACGAGCCTACCACCACTAGACACTTTTTATAGTTCTCTAAGGCAGTCCACAGTGACCGAGCAAGAACACCTCAGGGCACAAAAAGTGTGGCAAACGTTTAACTGTAAAAACGTAAGCGACTACCGCGATCTATACGTGGAAACGGACGTGTTACCACTAGTGGGTGTATTTGAGAACTTTCGTAAAGTCTGTAAACAGAACTACGGCCTTGACCCAGCTAACTATTACGCGTCACCTGGCTTATCCTGGGACGCTTTGTTAAAGCACACAGGTTTTAAACTGTAACTGCTAACAGACATTGATAAGCACCTGTTCTTTGAAAGGGCTAAAAGAGGGGGCATCTCGAGCGTGGGTGCCCAGCGCTATGCAAAGTCAAACAATACGAGTTTACCAGACTATGACCCAAATCAACCAGAGTCTTATATCATGTATTTAGACGCAAATAATTTATATGGTTGGGCCATGAGTCAATCGTTACCCGTGGGTGAGTTTCAGTGGGTTGAAAACGTAGACAAATTTACCCCTAAGTTTATCCTTCAAATTCCACCAATTTCAAAAATTGTCGAAAATCCTCAACGATTTTACAACCTGCACGTTACAAAGACGGTAGTAACGGTGGAAGGCAAACCAAATCAACTTTATTCGAAGGGACTTGAATATTAACACTGGAATGGAATTAGTAAGTATTTTGGAGTCGGACACCGAGTCGGCAATAGCGTTTGTAAAAGATTTAAATTTAACGGGGGTTGATATGGCGGATTATTTAAAAGATATGTATGGCTTGTGGCTCGATTTCAGGAGCTCTGACGATAATAGTGCTCACAGGTCGGATAGGCCTCTCGGGGGTGGAGGAGATATATCGATACAGATGGAACGACATGCTGAAACTGCAGGTCTGTTAACAATATACGCATTTTTGGTAATGGACGCTCAGTTGACGGTAGAAGACGGAAATTTTAAGAGTCTGGCTTAATAATTCGAGTTTCAATTAAATGAGTCAGATGTTTAAAAGTCTGCATTGCGCTTCAATTATTGGTAAAACGGGTAGCGGAAAACAAGTTGGATTTTGAATTTATTAGAAACCGAGTATAAATTTATATTTGAAGCGATCGTGACCATTTGTCCCACGCTATTTAAAAATAAAACATATTTCGAACGTTTATGGATATACACAGACGACGAAATGTATCTTTGTGATTTAGATCGAGAGGGTTTAGAATTACAGGAAGCGATCAATCAGAAATTATTCAACGGAATAAATACGTGTGCGTTGTCTAGAATGGCATTTTCAGGACGTCATTATAACCATAGTTGCTGGTTACTTACGCAGAAATATAATTCAGTGTTGAAAGATTTTAGAGAAAACACGGCCTCTATCAGCTTTCTTTCATTGCAAGAATAGGAATTCGTTTGATCAGTGTCTTGACGAAAACTATATAATTCCAGATGAAAAACGAGAGGAAATTAAGAAACGTTTACGTGACGTGAAACATAGTAAACTAAGTTTAAATACTGAGTCGCCTGTATCTTTGTAATTATTGTGGGAAAAATTGAAAATAAAATTATTAACAGTAAAAAATTAAAAATGTCTGGGGCCAAAAATTGGATAAGTGTAAACAAGAAAAAGATTTCTCTAATTTTAAAACGCGACAAAATGGGACGATTAATATTACATGTGACAATTGTATCAAAAAAATTAAAATTTTATCAGGATATGAATAGATGTTTACACGGGAGGCAAAAACATATGTGTATCGACTATGGAGGATCTCAATGCACCCAATTTGACGGTTCCTCTATTTGCAAGCATGCTAGAGAAAGGAGAAAATGCAAAATTTGTTCAGATCCCATAAAAGTAACGATTAAAAGATGGATTTATAGTTGTCGTCGTAAAGATAAGAAATATAACCGTTTTGACGCAAACCATTTCATCGATACGGACTTTTGCCAAGGTTTAATTGAAGATTATCCACTTTGCCCATACGAGGATTGCCAGGTCCAGTTGAAATTCTTAGAAAATAAAGATGACTTAGGTCCTATAGAGCGGCTAAATAATTCTATTGGCCGTATTAATTCTAATTGCGTATTGTGCTGCTACAGTCGCAATTGTAAAAGGAAGTGTAATAAAACTATATTTGCTGATTAAGTACTTATAAGCTAGTAATTAATTACTTTTGTTAATTACCTTATTCAATCGTAGCCTCCTGAGAATCAAAAAAGTACCTGGGTAAAGAATTTTCTGTAAAAGACATTGAGTTGCTTAGCCCCAAAGACCAAGAAAAGCTTTTCAATCTGTACAAAATTAAATTCGGTAAGGAAATCGTAAAAACTCTCTGTCACTTGATTCTAAGATTGTATGCGCGTTTACTCGAAATAGCCACCTCGGTTGAATTTTTAGGTTTCAACGTCAACTTGAAACCCGAAGAAGATTTGACAAAAGATTTAAACGACGACCCTATCATTAGTCAAACTATGGGACACCTGCTTAGTGAAATTTGGAGTCTTTATCACCTCTAGTTATGACTCTGATTACCACTAACCATCTAGACTTAAAAATAGCTCTCTTATTATAAAAGGAGATGTCAACAAAAGAAGAAGTGAGCCCAACGCCGACGAACTGTCCGGTGAAAACTCAAGTAAAGACGGTAACTAAAGTCAAAATTCCTAGACGAGTGGAACAAGGTAAAACATTAGCTGAACATAACAAAAGGTGAAGCAGCAATAAGCTAAAATGAAATTAGGCAAACCGAGTGAATGTAGCTCAGAAAATAAAGTTTATGCCAACTTAAAAGACACCAATATTTAATTGTAGGTGGATTGGTGATACGAGGAATCTTACTCGCATTTTATTTGGAAAGAAAACCTGCCGAATTACAAGAACTGATTCAACCAAAGCCGACTGTTCAACCAAAAAGCAAAGCGAGTGCAGCGAGAAACGAGCGACCCGAATTTTTTAGATAGTTTTAGATATGGAATAAAGTGAGAGGAGTCAGAGGAGTAAACAAGAAGTAAATCTAAAAATACTATATAATAAAAATGAGTAACGCTAAATCAATCGACGTAAATGGCATTGCAAACACGCTTTACCACGTTGCCGTAGTTTCAGGAATTTCTATGGGTTACGGTATGCTATCGAGTAAACCTTTTGAAATCAAATCGCCAGATTTCAATAAATTTACAATAGAAGACGCGTTAGAATTGACCGGGCTATCTAGCGGTGCGTTAGCTACCCAGGGTTGGCTCGTGTCACAAAGCATATTGCCCGCGAGTTTGACAACCGCTTAAAAAAACGTAGAGTTGCTTTTAAATCGTTTATTTTAAAGTTAAAGTAAAATGGCAGAAGGATTAGATCCAGAGGAAATACCTCTCTTGGGAGATCAAAATCAAGAAATAAGCGAGCAAAGCGAACGCGACCAAGAATTTGACGACGATAACTTATTTCCCGATCAACCAGAAACGTCCTTTATAGAAGGTGAGGTGACGGGTGATGCGTTAGAAAGAGGTGAAACGATGTTTATCAATTAACCCATAGTAATTGATTTTTACAAAGATAAAGGTCGATCAGATACACAAACGCCTGCTTTCGAGAATTTCAAATATATCACAAAAAGCCAAAGAGACCCAGTGAACAAATTAGAAGGTCTATATTACAAAAATGTACAGGGAGCAAGGAAGATATTACTTACAGACGAACGAAACCCGAGAAAGTTTGTATCGCTAGACACAATAGCAAAACGCTATTAACTCGGGTTCTGGGATTACCAGAAAAGAAATAAACAAGCACAAACAAAATTAAACGCCATCCAAACTGAAGACATTGAAATGCTTCCCCAAATATCAGACCAAGTTAGCGACATTGTGGCCTCGCTTACCGAAAACCAAACAGTGCAAACCGAGGGTTTAAATTATAGAGAGCTTTTAGGATTATACAAACTTTTGCAAACGATCAGAAGATAGATACGACTAAACCAAGCTAAAATTACAGAAATTCAAGAAGAAATAAGTCGTCTTGAGACTCCTGTACGTGACTTGCAAGATCAACTCGAAGGACTACAAGCTCAAAGAGATATATTAAACGGTCAACTCAAAAGCCAAATATCGCAAATTAAAGATTTAATTAATTACGCTTACCGTCGGATAATATGCTAGGTGATAAGATTCGAACGATATTTAAAGAGCAAGTTGAAAGCTTTAGGCGCTTTGCCCAGAATCATCGGTGGCGTTTTGAGCTGGCTGTTCAACGTGGCGAGTAAAGCGGTTGGACGGACAGCAGATCACGTGCGCACTATGTTTTTGCGGTGGGTTGTGTAGTTTTGACTTTGTACAAAAAACGTAAATCCGTTTTATAAATAGGCAAAAAAAATTTAAACGTTTGTTTTCCACGTGAAAAACAAGCGTTTTTAATGCCTTTTACTTTTTCGTCTATTCCAAGTCAAAACTTTAAAAACATAAAACCTATTACCCCCACGGCAATGGCTCCGACGGTTAAAGACAATTTTTATTCGTTATGGATGTCTAACAGTTTTTTATCTGGTACCAGTTGCTTTGGTTGAGTGGGTAAAAGTTCTGGTTGCTTTGGTTTGCTCTGGTCCCAAATTTAAACTCGGTACGTAACCGGTCCTCAGGTCTTTAGTCGCGATTTGTAAATTATTTTTGTAACCGTCAAAAGTGCCGATGCGCAAGTCCATGGCCGAAGGCACTGAATATAACCCTGGGGGTAACAACAGTTTAAAGGCGTTTTTTGCGTATTGCAACGAATCTTGAAATTGGTCAATCGACTGTTTGAGATCGGGGCCTGAATTAATTAAAGATTCCTCGATCGTGATAAACTTTTCATGAAAACTCACACCCAGAATGGTGTTTAAAATAAAATTAAACCAATCCACGTTATAAAAACCCGAGTGGAATAATTATATTTCACTTTTCACCACCTTGTACAAAATCCGTGGGTGTTTCTCTTTTGTGCAATTGATGCATCACCAGAGCGTTTGAACCAGTAGCCGTGACCAAAAGAAAAAAATTAACGCGTTTTCTGCCTCTTTGTCTGATCCCGAAGGTTTATTCGTAAACGTTCAGATTTGATTCTCAATGTCATTTATTTTTTGACTAATTGAGACAATATATTCTTCTAAAGTACCCGCCTCGAATGTAGTCTCTTATTACGTCGTAAAACAGAACCAAAGTAGCCATCTGCAATTCTGAAAATAGTACTATCAGTTCGAGTGTTTCTATAATATACGTGTTAATAACAGATATCGGTGAGTCAGCCTGTATTGATGGTCTAACTCCATTGGGAGCTCTTTTTGCGGGGATGCTCGCTCCACTCGCTTGAGTTTGCCATTTGATGATAACATACCGCGATTAAAGCCGTCAACGGTCTTCCTCTGGATATCTTACCATCTAAAATTCGATTTAACACATGTTCTATGCCGCCTGATTGGTCACTGGGTAACTCAATGTTAAGTTCTCTCAAAGTTTTCTCTGATTTTCTTGGTGGTGATTTTTTTCCAAACGTGATGATGGTAGTATCTATCTCCCATCGCTTCAGGGGTATATGAAGAAACCCACCAAAAATTACCCTACATTTTTTACAGACATATCTTTCGTCCATTTCAAGTATTTGGTGCTCGCACGTTTTTTCTGGTCGTGATGGCGGGTTGGCCATTCAGGTTCATAACCGAGTAGGTGGCAAATTTCTACGTATGTCATTTTTATTTATATGTTGTTTATTTAAGGAACGAATGACATAAAAACAACCCGGTTATTCCGAAGAATCGAGGTTCAATCGACTTTTAATTATACGAGAAATTCAAATTCACACCGTGGTCTCTAATTTCACGGGAGATTCAGATATGCTAAATGCTTGCAACGCCGACTGATTTGAAATTAGTCCGTCGTTTCCACTTTTCAACATTGCCGCTGTCATTCTATACCTAACGCTAGCGCTGCAAGACAGTGAACCGTGGGTACCGTAGTATACGTCTTATGGACAAATAAATGATTGCGCGTCGCATCTCTTATTGATAAATTTATCGATATTTGACGAGTCACTGGGTCTTTTTGGTGATCAAATAGGGAGGCACAGGGATCTTTTTTAACGTACGTTTGGTTTTTAGCCGTATAAGATGGTTTAACTACATATTCGATCTTGTTCAATTCATCGATATCGCGACTGGCTTTGCAGGTGTTTATGGTATTAGACGGGAGATTAGACTCTTGAGATTCGATACACCTATAAACGGCCAAATTGATGTGATCGAGTATGTTTGTCGTCGGTTGTGGTATTTGATAACAAACCGACCCACTAAATTTTCTGGCATTTTATCTCGAGTGCTGTATTTGTAAAGCAGGTTTATGCCGTAGCAGGGCTCTATCGTCATTATCAACAGGCGTTTATTTTGACCGTTGTGATGGTAAAAAAATGGGCGAACTGCATTGACTCACGTGGGTGCCTTTTTTAAACACAGGTTTTAAAATGATTAATTTGCTCAGGTCAAAAGGACCACAGGTGACGTTGGGGTCACAGTTGTCGGTATTGAGACGCTCGTGGTTGTCTGAAACGATATATACTTGGGTTGACATGGTTATGATTTTCCGGCTTTGGTATAGATTTTTTTCATTTTTATTCGGCTGCGTCTATTAACTCACGAGTTCACTTACGCCACGAGTTCAGGCCGGGCAAGTCAAGACATGTAGCAATCGGGAAAGCGAAGGAATCCCCCTTTTTTGAGAGTCACGGGGTTAAAGGTCTAGGTTGTTTATGCGAGGTCTATGTAGGCCGGCGCACGTCGCAAGTTGTTGACAAAAAAAGTGCGCCGGGGTGGAAAGGTCAAGGTGAGTGAAGTGGGAAGTCCCGGCGCGGGTGGTGGAAAGAGGGTGAAAGGGAATGTCAAGGGGAGGTGGTCTGGAACTTCCTATCCCTGCTACTTCTCTCTGTCTTTGTTTAGGTTTTTCAAATTCAACCTTTGTTTTACAGATGGAACTCTGTTTTTCGATCACACTATCGATTGCCGTCCTTCTTGGTAACTCTGTCCATCTTGAAGCTGCAATCATTGGTTCAGCTCCTGCGGACAGTGATGGTTCTTTGTCTCGGGCGTGTCCAATGTGCTGCCAGGGACCTGCTGGAACACCTGGAATTCCGGGCCTACCAGGAAATCAGGGTCAGTATGGACCAGCAGGGGCAAAGGGCGATGCTGGGGTCAAGGGTCAGAAGGGTGAGAGTGGCCCAGTTGGCGATGTTGGAAATCCTGGCAAAAAAGGGGACAATGGAATGGGTCTGCCTGGTAAGGTAGGTCCCAGAGGTCCACCTGGCTCAGTTGGAGCCGTTGGGGAAGTGGGGGTCAAAGGTCAAAAGGGCCAACCAGGGGATACTGCGGATATATCACTTCATCAGGTGGCATTTACCGTGACACGGACAAGTCACTCTGATCCTTTTACTAGCCACAACACCCGTTTGCCCTTCGACCAGATCGAGACGCTTGTGTCGGGTACCAGCTTCGATCTTGCAACGGGTACTTTCACATGTAATGTGCCAGGAACCTACGTGTTCACGTTTTCTGTGTGCAAATATAACCACAGCGGTAACCTTTGGGTTCATCTTCGGAAAAACGAATACTTTGTTGTCACTGGCTTTAGCAGTGTTTCAAGTGTTAATGTGCAGGTGTCCGGAAGTGCAGTGCTGATTCTGCATCAAGGGGACTCAGTGTATTTGACCATGTCCGGTAGGACAAATAGCTATACTAGGGAACACACTGCTTCATTCAGCGGCTTTCTCCTTTACACGCAACTGAACCAACAAGGATGAAATATTCACAATCATGTGTTTGAAGTTGTTGTTACAATTTCGATTTTATTGCACACAGCGCTCACCCCCTCAAATTTCGATGATTTTGCCTCTCTCACAGAATTTTAACCCTTAGTCGATTGCACCAAATCTAATTGCTACTTGTCCTGATTTTTCATTAGTTTTTGTACCAAGTTTAGAAAATTAAAATGGCGTTTGTGTGAGTCGGAAACAGTCCTGGAGTGTCGGTATCCTTTCCTGCCCAGTTATTTTCTGTGTTTACAGATACTCACGTTCCTCTCAATGCACTTGCCACCCTTGTTGTTTGTGTTTAAACTGTTTAAAGTAAATCTCCGTACCAAATCCAATTCTTTTGGGTGGGGCTAGACCCTTTTCAAGTGATATTGCCTTTCATTGTGCTACTTCGAGTCCTATATTCCACCTTTGCTTTTATTTTTACGGTGTTTGTTTGGGGAGCTCTAGCCAAAACCAGGGGACCAGAGAACTCCTCTCCCCTGTATCCTAACACAGCAACGAACTATGCAATCATCAAAGAGACATAAAAATGCATCATGACGCCGAACAGTTGTTCATTAAGGTCTGCACTGTACGATTTAATATCAAATAATACATGTAATGCTGTGCCCGAAAACACAATGCGACATCCTGAAAGCAATGAAATATAATTTCAGAAATATAATTAGAGAAGTTTGGAAAGTTGTTTTGGTAGATGAGGAACGGTGTCGATGTTTTAGAAACATAAATCAAGCCAATATTCATTTGGAATTGGTAACCAATAAGGCTGAGGTCAAAATAATGAATTTGATTTGTTTCTCTTCTTTGACCTTTCTTTCCTCTTTCTGACAATCTTTTACTGTTGAAATTAATACGTATTATCAGTTTACACTCAAATGTCGTGAAATCTACTTAATTTGTGAAGTCAGTCTTATTGCCCAAAATTTACATCGAATGATCCCTGATCACAATAATTTCTAGTTTATGCTGGGCAGTTGAATACATTTTCTGTCAGCGTTTATCCTTTAAAGAGCAATGCCAAGGCCTGAGATATGTTGTTTAAATAAGAATTTCAAAATTAGCTGAAGACAAATAATAGTGGATGGCAATTATGTTCACCTGTGAGGCGGATCACGGTTTGCCCAAAATCAACCTGAGCCCCCGATCTAGGAATCAAAAGCCTAAGCCCCAATCTGCTATCAGGCGCACAATTAATTAAAAAAAAGGTCGAGGCCTAAACGCACAGCTAGTATCCTCAGCTGTTTCCAAAACGATATACGGTTGTGCACGTTCGAAACATTTTCTTCGTTGAACCTGGCCCTTTGTTGATGCACTAAACAACTAAAACGTTTAGAAAAGAAGAGGGCTTTTTGTCAAAGAATGCATAAAATTAAGAGACGTTACATGAATATTCACAGTTACTTCTCTGTTTATGGTTGTCAATTTGACAATGTGAACACTTCCTGTTGTGTGAGCGGCTTACTGAAGAGGTTCGGCACACTATTCATTTCGTACGCTTTGTGATCGAATTTAAGGTAATTCTTATGGGCCTCAAACTAAAGAAAATTAGTTTTCCCGAGGAAATACCAAGTCTCAGGGTGAGGAATGTTCATTTGGCTCTTCATCACCCTTGAAAGTGTGTTGACAAACCTATTTTTTCGCTCTGTGCGATACAAATCATGCACACTACGCCATGAACAAATGTACTACACGCTCTGGCAATTAACACTTGCAGATTAGCCAACAGTATTGTTACACGACTGCTCTTGCATATTTCAGTCAATCAAAAATAAACAGATATTTTTAAACACGATACCATAATAGTAGGCTTGACAATTAAAGAAAACAGCAAAGAAATGTCAACGTGAACAAGATGCTTGCAAAAATATTTACCATTGTGGGCATATTTATGCACTTACTAAATATTTAACTTAAGACATTTTTTCATAGTTTCAGAGAAGAACAAAAATTGATTTCTGTAATTAAACACAAATATGTCAAATGCTGGGTATTTTTTTTTCATCGTATTGTGTGTTATTGTCCTGCACTCTACGATTGATGCTGGTCTGTTTGGAACAATTTTCTTTGATAGTTATCAATACTTAGAGGGTAATATTAGGTCATTACGTTTACTCCCTTAAAAGCTGCAATCTAAAATCACGTATGGCCGCGCTGCACAGGTCGGGGGAAACACCGTAACGGAATGCAGGAAGTAATTATTCCAGTGTGTTTTTTCCTCTTTTGTGAGGTTTGTCATCACGAAAATACATCACTGGAAGAGATATTAACCTGTTCTTTTACATGACGTGGAGCTTGAGCATATATGAAAGCGTACTTCAACCATGAATTTCGTCCTGAAAAAAGCCCTTAACAGTGATTGACAAAACTCTAGTTGTATCGGAGTTCACGTTTCGTGCCTATCATACCAATATTTGTCTGTCTCAGAGATCCATTATACATTATGTAAACTCTACGAAAGAACTTCCGGAAAAGTAACCGCCCTAAATGCGAATATGGAAATGTCCCAGACTTCTGAGATCCTTTTTCGCAGGATCATTACTAATAGATCTTGTATTTTGTTTGTTTCACAACGGCCGAAACAGCAGTTTGAATTTTTTAAGGTGAGACAGAAACATCTTCCAGTTGCTCGCCTTTGCGGCATTTATAACAATAGGCATTTGTAATAGACTGCTTGGTTGTTCATCGAGAAACATTGGGGTCACTCGGACAAAAATATTGATGCAATAAACCGTTTTAAATGTTAGTGCACCAGTTATGGCGGCTTTTGGTAGATGGAAGCTGAAAGTTGTTAGGAAGCGCGTATTGTCCTTAAGTCCCTCCTTGCATCATATTAATCCTCCCCATCCATTTTTGACTCGACTCAAATCATTTCAGAGACTTGTAATATGAGATTAAGGGTCCCACTTGAGACTTAATCTTTTTTCCACTAAATTTCTCAATTTTAGAAGTTTTCCCTGACCAGTGAGTCACTGTATACGACGGGTCAGAATCTCAACTAAACAAAACAATCAGTTCTATGAAGCTGGATTTTTTTCTCCGACTTTCATTAGTTATACTTGATACTTCTGCACAAAGTGATCTATACGTGTTTTACATGCACAAAACCGATCCAGCCACGAACCGTTTACAGTACACTGCGGCTTGTTATACATGGAATACGTACACGTGTATGTACAAGTGCATGGAAATTCTCAAATGTTGGAGCCGGTGTTTATGTTTATGTGGTGTATACATGTATAATACATGAAAAACTGGGGATATATACCGTGAATTTCAACATTTTCCTTGCAATTTTGTAATGACAGATAGACCTCCGTTTCAATAGTTAACTTCACGTTAACTTACTATACTTTTGAGATCGTCTTTCGTTCCCGAGTCACTGAATTTTTACTCTCCCAAGGCCGTAAGATTTTGCGGGATGAATGGAATTGGTGCCGAGTTATGTCAATATGCAAACACATCTGGTCGGGAAGAGAAAAAATCTAGCCCAAAACCGTCACCAAATCTAAGACATTCACATCTTTCTTCACCACAGCCGACTTTTTAAAACTTCACAAAAACTGAATTCTTTGTTTCGAGTCTTCAAAACTCACATCACAACGTAAACAAGCTACCGCTTACAAAAAGAGCTTTTCAGAAAAATCTCTGATACTATTTTTCAATTTAATTTTCACAAAACACATTTGCGAGCTAGAGTGCCCATGGCACTTTCGAGGAATCATTGGTGTTATTACCATAAGTTATTATTAATGATACATACGCTTGAAGTTTACAATTGACAGTAAGGCCAGGAGACATAAACGGTCAATTAATATTTAGACTGTCACCACTGTACATGTCTCGTCCGTTCTCCTCTCTGTCCGCATTGGCCAATACCACACTGCTGTAATGATATGACAAGAACGCGACTCCTCTTTAAATCACTTTCACCGTGGGTAAAATGGATATCACTTCCCCCCAAAGGTATCCTTAGGAGGGAGTCTTGTGGAGTTTTTGCAAACAATTGCAATTGCATAATTCCCTACTTGATAAAGATATTGACTGAAAGGCAAAATGCTAGGAAAAGTAGAGTTGCTAGGAAAAGTAGAGTTTGGGGTTTGGCAATTGGACTCGCGTATGGAATTACATTAAAAAGGTAATCTGAAGGGTTTCTTCTACTAAAGTGCGTTACAATAATGGAAATTTGGCATTTTAATATTGATGTCCAAAAAAATGACAACCACACCACTGATTTTGATTTCCTTAACTATCTCCCTGTTCAAGTTCTAAACGAACAATAACAACATTGGTCGAAAAAAACACGTTGATATCCTTTACCACTTTTTCTTACATACCCTATGGATTTTTTTCAAAAGAGGTAATAATACATCAGTGAAAGGAGATAAAGTTTGTTAAATTATCGATTTCTATGGCAACAGCAAACGTTGAATTTTCTATCGTATATTCAGAGACAAAAGTAGGTTCTGCCTGATTGATAAACATTTACCGCTTATATCCATGTATCACAATTAAGTTGTAACTGGTGTTGTAAGAAGTTATATAGTTGCTAGTAATTAGTCATCATTGTTAAAATGAAACTGTAAGAATGTGCTTTTAGTTGAGAACTTGTTTTCAAAGCACTGGATGTAGTTGTTTCAAAACATAAACTTAAAATGCCGGAAATGTACTTAAAAGCTGCTTCTGAGCTGTGCTAAAGTGAAGGATTTTGCTTTTTGTTTCCAAAATATTGTCCAGTTGTTTTTATAGGGAATCCTTTGCCCCTGGAAGATTAGGTGGTAGTACTCTTATAAAATTCGTTTGTTGTTATTTAAAAATCCCATAATATATATCTTGGGAACGTGCCCCCTTTCCTTCACAATTGACCACTGGACATCAGTCAAAATCAAACCATGGTAGAAATGTGTAAGGTATCTTATCTCAAAACTTTCAGTTTGTGTAACTGTTTATTTAAACCCACATTTGCGTACTTCCTGCTTGACATCAAT